CTCATCATCACCCTCATCATGGAAGGGTGTGTCATCTCCAAACTCATCCGCATTGTTTTCATAATCACTATCATCTTCCTGACTCTGCGCATCTGCCAAATCACGAGTCAATACGTCGTCTATGTCCAACTGTATGAGGTCAGGAGCATCAAGATGCTCGTTTTCACTGCATAAAAAGAACAAAATGATAAGCTACCCAACTAGATAAATACCTTACATATAGCTATATCACTTTACTTACAAGTCGTACTGTCTTGACGTTTCATGATGGATGTTTTCTTGTTGGTGATGACTCCCGGATGGACCACCGTGGTCCAATACGCCAGAACTACGCATATTCCAACTAGGGGCGGGGTCATAACTTGTAAAATTCATATCCGGACGGTACCCCCTATGAAAAATATGAGTGTTAATACAAACCAATTAAAACATAAAATAAACATCGCTAAAGCGTAGAAAAATTGAAGTTTACCAGTCGTCTTGTGGATTATATAAAGTCAAAAAATTATTTTGTGGCTGCTCATTCGCCGGCGGTGACAAGTTTAAATCAAGGCAAGCTCTTTCATCAGGAATCTGTCCCGCAAAAACTGCTCCAGAATAACCACCCGATGACTGGGAGTTATCCCTACTATGCACGCCCTCATTATTAGAAACGTCTTCAACTTGACGTGCATTTCCAATAATTTTATTACAATAAATTCCCTGTATTCATCCGGAATCCGCAAAAAATCTCTAAGAGTTTCATCATCTTCGACGTTAAACACTGAATACGGAAATCTACCGGTTACTTTAAGGTTCACCGAACGTTTTCTCAAACTCATTTTTTTTACGTAACAACGATACCAATTTATCGTACTCCATTGTAAGCGGCAATTTAACATGACACTGTGGAGGTGAGCTATACCTCACAGAGTTATTCTCCAGCACAACTTCACCCACCCCCCCACCCCCCCAATATAATGAAACCCTTATTTTTAGCTCTTCAGACATTATAAAAAAATGATTGATAAGAAGAAGAGAGAAGTATGAACGGAAGTTTAAAGGAAAGTTTTGAATGAATTTTCATAAAATTCAAACGCCTTTAAATAAGGCAAGTCCGAGCTTGGGGTGCAGAATTTTTATATATAAAACGCAGTACAATACCACGTTTTATCTATTTGAATTATTTTTATGTTAGTTATCCGCAGAGCACTTATTGGTGGGCCAAAAAATTGGTGTGAAACGCAGTATTATAATACGTTTTACACTAAAAAATAAATATTCTCTGCAGTCCTGCAGAACTGTCATTATGGTGGGCCCAAATTTAATAGCGAAACGCAGTATAATACTGCGAATTGATTAATCGCAGTATTGTACTGAGTTTTCCTAAAAAAAATTATTTTTTAAATAATACGCAGTATAATACTGCGTATCACTTTAACGGCTTCCGTTAAAGTTAAACGCGGTATTATACTGCGTTTTATGTAGTTATGTAACTTTTTTTTTTAAATAATAGAAAGGTATTTTGTGCCCAAAAAGCACTATTTAAGTTTCGTACTCAAATATTAAGTGGTGGTCCTGGATGAACAATAATATAATGTAAAGTACAGATATAATTTAAATGGAGATGTAGTACGTACCTACATATGACTAATACATACGGGACTATTTGAGTGAGTAATATTAATATTAATTGTACTAAAAACGAAAATGGTAATCAAACAAAACGACAAATACTGATGTTTTCCGTGTTGTATTCTATATGATTTTAAATATATTAACATTTCAACAATCATATGAGTAGTGGCCTATATAGAAATCTCGTCAAGGGTATTCAAACTTCAAACTTTAAGGTAGTCGATAATTTATTTATAATTAATGAATGGGTGCACTGAATTATTTTAAAATTAAACTACGCGATATTTAGCTAAATTATTAAAACATTTGTAATAGAACTGTAATTTTATAAATCAAAACTAATTAAAGTAAGCATAAAACCCCCAAAAAAAAGAAATAGAGTTGAACTAGTCAGTAGTATGCAAGGAGCTTTTGTTGAATTCTTTTTTCGTAAAGCTTGACTTTTAAATTGTAAAATTTATTTAAGAAATAACTTTTAAGATTTTGGATTGAAAAAAAGTCAAATTGACCATATAGGTCTCCATTTTATTGTGGGAAACAAAATTAGCAGATAAACCCGAATCGAGGAAATTAAAAAAAGAAAATAAAGTTTCTTGGGAAAAAAAGAGAAGAAGTCAAATTCGCAAAAATGTTAAGGTTGTTCAAAATTATAATCATATCAGATAAAGTAATATTGAACTTATATATTCTACATAGTATAATTTTCCGGTGAAAGATGTTCGATTGACCACCTTTGGCGTAGTGTGCTTAAGCTACCGCATGTGAATATATGGTTACAATAAGAGATTAAAACTAAAAATGTTCAAATATATAAATGTGTATTAATTATTTATAAATTTAAACAAATTATAAAAAGTGCCATAGGAATTTGGAGTAGCAAATTACTTTTTCCACTAATCCTCCAAGTCCAACAAAACAATAAGAGGAGACTGACAAGTCAGTGACCTACTGTTTACTTTATCATCACCTCTCTCTTTCACTTCTTCCTTTTTAACCTCGCCAATGGCATCTCTTTGACCCGTAATCAACACTCCCCTCTTCTTCCTCATATTCCCTCTGTCTATATCTATTTCTCCCTCCTCTGGCGATTAATCTTCCTTTTGCCAAGTAAACAGAGATGGCTGTCGAGCTCATGATGGATTACAGAAACACAAGTAGGAATAATTTTACTATCTTCAATACAAAGTTGGAAGAAAAGGCAGTGGTTCAAGAAGCTGCCTCTGGGCTTGAGAGCGTCGAAAAACTCCTCAAATTGTTATCTCAAACTCAGAGTCAGTCTCAACAACAGCAAAAACAGGGGAATTTATCTTCTTTCCTAAAGCAAGAAAATTCCCCTATGGAGATTGAAATGGTAGCTGATGCTGCTGTTACAAAGTTCAAGAACGTAATTTCTCTTCTGGGTAGAACCAGAACTGGCCATGCTCGATTCAGAAGAGCACCTATTACTTCCCCTCCAAAAGTCAATAAAGATTTTATTGACAGTAAAGTTTATTGTCCAACTCCAATTCAACAAGTCCCTCCAGTTGCCTATGAACTTTACAATCACCAATTCTTTCAAAATCCAAGAGATGGGGTTGTTGAAAAACAAGAATTGGTCACAAAAAAGAGCATTAACTTTTCCTATGCTCAAGATATTTGTCGCTCAAATTCGTTTAATATGTCAACGTTAACAGGGGAAACAGAGAGTTCATCTTTCAAGATTTCAAATCTCTCTTCTGCTGGAAAGCCTCCTTTGTCTACTTCTTCTTCGTTTAAAAGAAAGTGTTGTTCGTCGGAGAACGGCCTCTCCGGCAAGTGTAGTGGCTCCTCCGGTCGATGCCATTGTTCTAAGAGAAGGTAACCAAATTCAATCTTTAATTCTTCTCTTTTAGTATTATGTTTCATCAGCAATATTTATTTATTTGTGTTTGTAATGAACTGGAGTAATAGTTTTCTTGATGTGTTCAAGCAGGAAATTAAGACTTAAAAGGGTGGAAAGAGTTCCAGCAATAAGCATGAAGATGTCTGACATCCCACCTGATGATTATTCATGGAGAAAATATGGACAAAAGCCAATTAAAGGATCTCCACATCCAAGGTTTTGAGCTAATCCTTATAAATATTTAACTTATACAATAATTGGCTTATACTATCAGTATAATTTTGCTTATTATAATAGTTACTTGTCTCGTTTTCAAGTTACAGATTTCACCTATGATAGATATTACATGGAACTACAATTAAAGTGACTTAATTGTGTAAAAATTCTTACCATACATTATTATAAATGTATTTGAGACTAAACTATTTTTTTTTTTGTGTTGCTAAATAATGGCAGGGCATACTACAAATGTAGCAGTGTGAGAGGCTGTCCAGCACGTAAACATGTTGAGAGAGCTCTGGATGAACCAACCATGCTGACAGTTACTTACGAAGGCGAGCATAACCATTCCCTCTCTGTTGCAGAAACAAGTAGTCTCATTTTAGAGTCTTCCTAATTAGATCAAATTGTGGCGATTATGATTAGTTAAAAAGGCATAGCTAGCTTTATTTGCCCTGCAAAAGAAAAAAGGGTGACAAATGTAACCTAGTACAGTGTAAGACTAGTTAAGAAAGAAACTAAAACTTTATAGCAAAAGTGCGGTTAGAACTTATGATCTTAAATATTTTCATGATCGATATTTATGTGGTTGGTTATATGAGTATCTTGTTAAGGATAAAATATAAATTTAAGATAGAAATAGTTTCTAAATATAAAAAAGTATCATTCCTTTTTTAAACAAACTAAATAAAAAAGTTATTATATAAATGAAACATATGCAGAAATAGATTAATTGTTTTATGTCTCTTTATCAGTTATAGTGGACTAAACCAATTCACAAGCATAGGAAAAAAGAAGTTTTAACTTCTATACATAGACAATATAACATTTTTCATGCTATCATGTCATAAATAGTAATTTCTCCGGTCCAAAATAAGTGATTTTTTGGATGTTTTCACACAGATTAAGAAATCCACCTTTTAGCATTAATTAGCAATGTAATTGACCATATTAACCTTTACTATCTCACATAAACACTCCTAACACATATTCCAACAATATTTACTCCAAGGATAATGTAGGAAAAAAATAATTAATTCATTCTTGAAATCTGGAAAAATCGCTTATTTTGGACCACAAGAAAAATGCCAAAAAATTACTTATTTTAGACCGGAGGGAGTAACTTGACATATAAGGCTATAATCTTCTATAACACATTAAATTATTTTGGTAGTGTCAAAATGTTATTACACTATCTTTAGAGCAGAAAGAATTACTAAGACCGGGGATTTGGGGGATAATGGATCTGTGATTGGAAATAATCAAATGAAAAGAGATAAAAAAGGAAAAAAGGGGTTGGTCACATGCAATCAGTTTCATTATATGTTTGTCTAGTTTCCTGGTTAGCTTTGTCAACGTCGGATGCCTAACTTCTCCTTTAATTTCTCATATTATCGAATGGTGGAACATTATTTCATGGAATAGTCTAGCTTTTTCGCTTTTTTTCTTTGGATAGTCCAAATGGTTGATGAAAAGTATTAGACAAAAAATGGGACTCGTGTTTGGGACGGTTGACCAAGAGAAAGGAAAGATTATGAGGCAAGACAAAGAGTAGAAGTTGGCAGTTGGCAAATGGGAAGGCTAATTTAGTTTTCTACTTTAATAATCGCAGCTAAAAAAAGGAAAAAATATACATAGTGGAAATTGATCCCTATATCTCTCGGTCAATAACTTTAACTTTCAACCAAATGTATCGGAATATGAGTCTCAACAAATAATATTATACCAATTTTAAAAAATTATATATAAAATATCAAATTGTACGAACAGACAGTAGGGTCACGTACCCCGTAAATACACCTATAAACCGCCCCTGTGAGTGTTTTTGTACTTTGGCATGGAATTTATAGCAAAACAGTTGGTTGTGTGTTAAGACTAGTAGTTGAGAAGAGAGGAAGACTGAAATATGGAAATTGTTGGTGCACATTCACAGGTCAAAAATAGCAGATGGGGGCTATTAAATGGAAATACTAAAGGGTCAATTTTCAAAGAAAGAATTACGGCCTTGTCACTTGGCCTAACAGCCCAACCGAAAATGGCCCAGATTTGAAGTTCTTACCCTATTTAGCCTATGTTGTACATAACTTGAAAGAAACTTTTCAGCCTTTAGCCCATTATTAAAGACACACTTTTAGGGTTTTTATTATATTCTTCTTTCTTCATTCCCAGCACACCGAATTCTCTCTCACCGCCTCTCGCTTCTTTCTTTCCAACCCACATAGATCCCTTATACTCTCTTAACCTAGCCCCCACTATTCCTCCTCCCCTACCCCCTACGCAGTTCTGCCATCAATGGCTCGAAGAAGGCTCGGGCTCCTACTCCGTCGTCCATGGTGGCAAGCAGAAGAATATTGAAGATTTTTTAAATTGGGTATGACTCTTTGCAGTTTGAAACCTTAATTTCCAATGTCTGGTCGAGCTCCGAGGAGAAAAGATCGGAAGCTAAATCAATCTTCAACACGATGAAGCAGAAAGCTCCAGACTTGCTTATTCTTAAGCTTGTTGACCTTCTTGGCTCATCACAAGTTATTGATTCCCGTGACATGTGTGTTGTCCTCCTTGAAGTCTCGAATCTGAAATTGGGTGTATCGTATTTGTGCGTTGCATTCCGAATCGTTGGCACAAAATTGCTAACCTATAGACGAGTTGAATCATCCAATACCTTCTACTACAACTCGAGGCTTGGATAAAAATCATAACTATGTAGCAGTTTGTATAAACACTGTATAATAGAGTATAATTGTGTATATGAATATACAAACACCTCTTACACACTATTATACATATTTATACAAGTTATACAGTATTGTATAATTGTGTATAAATGTGTATATTTGTGTATAATATTTTATAATTATATATTTTTTTCAGTTTATAAGGATGTATATACATTGTTAGTGTGTAGGAGGCCTCTACGGAAGTTTGACACTTCCTTCTCTTCTTCTTTTTCGTGTATGTGTTGTATAAAAAAGATTTGTACGCGTTGGAGGGATTCTACAATTCATTTACCAAGTTTTTATTTTTCTTTTATCCTGTTGGATTGCTTCACCAATTGCACATAATAGTGTATGAAAACAACTGGTTGTATAAAGAGGGTGCAATAACCGTAGTTGATTGTGTGAAATAAGCTGTCTTTCGGGAATTAGCCTATTATTTTTGGGCTATAGATTTGCAAAGTGGTATCTAGGCTATTATGTTGCAAGTCAGGTGTCTGAGTTGTATTTATGTTAAATTATCCCATTTTCAAAGTATGGGGACCAACCTTTGTTTGTCTGTTAGAGCAATAGTGTGCAGGGAAGTGAGCAGTAGTATGCAGACCAAACAATCAACAATGTATAGAGCAGTGGAATAATGGAGCAGCCCCCAAAGATCAATCAGTCTTGGCTTTCAGCCGACTGAGTAATCAGTCATCAACAGGAAAGCGGGAGAGGATGTGTAGAAAATAAGAGAGAACACTGAGTATACTTATGTGTGTAAGAGAGAGTTCAGAGCAATGAACCTTTTTTGTTCTTGTGTGTGATGTGCAATGTATCAGTGTGTAATGCAAAAGAGAATGGGGGTACTTATAGCTCTCAAATTAAGTGAAAATAAGGTAATACGTATAGACTGATCATAGTTATGGAAATAATACCAATTAGAATCAATTAAACCCAAACACGTAACTACTTATTTATTAAATCAGTTTCAGCACTTAAAAGTGCTTTTTAGCACTAATGCTTATCAGCTGCTTCAAATCAGCTAATCCAAACGGGCTCTAAGCACGCAAGGGATTCTAGATATGGGTCAATCGGTTGTCCCATTTCATCAATCCTTATATTTAAAATGGCCAAACTCATAAGCAGACCCCTAAAGTTGGCTTCATTTTTCATTTTGGCACTTTACTTTGACCTTTTTCATTTTGACACTCCAACTCATCCTCTCATGTACCAGTTAAACACAAAATGCTCATTATTCAAAAATATGAAGAAAGTGTAATTCACACGCAGCTTATGTGGCAAAGTAACCAATGGAACAATGACATGTGGCTTTTGTTACCAAATAATTTCAAAATGAATTTTGAGAAAAAAAAAACTATTTTCAATCAGCTCCTCCGTCATCTTCTCCGCCCACCCCACCATCAGGTTCCATCATCATTTTCCCACAATCACCAGAGCTCTCAGAACTAAAGTCTCCATTGACTTTAATAGCATTAAAATCTAGTACAATATTAAAATGAGTTTAACTCTTTAACCAAACGAATGACTGTAACACCCCGTAAATTCGGCTTAGGTGTGAATGTAGTAAATGAGTGGTAAGGTTATATTTTGAACATGTGAAGTTCCAATGGGATGATTGTGGGTAAAATAGTTGTTTCAAAAATCAAAATGGAAAGAGAGGTGCATAAGATTTGACAAAAATCGACTAAGTTGAAGAAGGTCTGTCTTCCATCAAGTTATAGTGAAAATATGTAACGAATTGGGGAAAATGCAAAGCAAGAAAGTTGTAGGCCTTTGAAATAGCTTTCCAACGATATATTATGGAGCCCAAACGGATCTCTGTGCAAAAATGTATGTGCGTTTTTTAGAACAGTACGCGTATGCGCGAACACTCGCGCGAACAAGCCTCCAGGTGCGCGAACTCGCGCGTGGGAGGCAGTGTTACTGCCGTTGAGCACGAACTCTCGCGCGAACAAGCCTCCAGGTGCGCGAAGTCGCGCGTGGGGGGTCGTTTTAAAGCTATATTTCGTCCCCCACAGCCCCAAAACATAAAAACTTGCTCTAGAAAGGGGAACTCTCAAAAACCTAACTCCTTAAGGGTCCTTCCACCACCCCAGGTAAGTTCTAATGGTGATTCTAAGTTAATTTCACTTTTTCAACATCTTAGTAACATGGGTAAACCCTCCATATCATTAGATATTCGATTGGGACATCATTGTTGAGAGAAGGAAGCCTAGAACTCGAAAATCAAGGGTTTGAACTTCGAAAAGGTAATGTCTTCACCCTCTAATTGATTCTAGCATTGGTTTAATGATAATAAATCCTAGTTCATGAGACATGAGTTGTTGGGGTTGATAGAAAAGCATGAACGATTATAGGGTTGGGGTGTTGAGTGTTGATTATTGGTTAAGAGTGTTGTTTGCCTTATGGGTGATGAAGAATAATGTTGGTGTAATCATTTGAGACCTTAGAATTTATCTAGGAACAAGAGAATGGGTTGTTGGGTGTAGAGACACCATTAATAAGAACTATGAAGCTTTATTTTTACCAAGTGTTTGACAAAATGCTTAAGTGACCAAAACATGAGCATTATAGCTAATGTGGAATCCCTGTGACTTGTATTGCTATAGATTGAAGTTGAAAGGATTGACAAACGTTGTATTACGCTCAAGAGCAGGAAGTTAAGGTATGTATGGCTAACTCTTTACGTTTGGGAATGTCTATGATTCTCCCTACGTCCCATTCATTATGATCATTACCAGTCTCCTTAGAAAAGAACTATGCCATAGTTCCCTGATCAATAGTAGGACTTCTATTCTCTAGATGACATAGTCTCATAATCATTCGATATTCTATGAGTTTCAGTTATGAAAAATCAACTTGTTATGAATACTTATCTC